ACAAATGTCATTCAAATGAACCGATGATTTCAAACAAAGAATTTGATTTGGTTTTAAGAAATAACAATTGTTTCTCGCAAATAATATTTATTTCTTGCAAACAAATATAAGTCAAACAAATAAGATTGTTTCACGCAAAGAAACGTTTTTCTCTGTGTATATCAATAAGTTTGACCACCCCCAATCGATATTTTTTTTCAATCTTTACGTGCTCATTGTATATTAGAATTAGAAACAAAACTTTGGGCAAACGAATCAATTATTATAATCGAACAGCCATAAACGCCTATCTAAATTCACCAGCCATAGGGTGGCATTTGAAAAAAACATGTTGGGGTAGATTTCTGCCACCCCTGAAGAGTTATATTCTCCATATTTTTCGCAAAATGTTTGGGAATACCTTGAAATGTTGACCTGTCCCGCGTATTTTTAGGAAAATAATTCACCTCTCCGCTATTGAATTTATTTCAGTTACAGTCTCTACCCTGTATATGGTCTTATGGCATTAACGGTCTAGAATAGATTGTCCGTGTTGTCATGTCTGTGGTAAGTTAGTGTAGTAGCACGTAGTATTTACTCAATAACTATAACTGATTGTGGCACTTTTGTCCTGTACTATTATTAGAGTTTTCCATTATATTATCTATTCATTGTTCGTGATATGAGAGGTTAGGTATATTTTCATCGAGTTGCTATAGTTATTGTCCTACGTTAGAATCATTAACGATAGCAGTTTTTGGTTGCACTTAGTACTTAGCCAACGACGCGATAGTGAAATTGTTTCTGTCATACGGGTCAGCTTTGTAAGTTAACGTTTTCATATATTTATAATGCGATCTGAAATAATATAATAGTATATGATGTAACAAGTGTTATAAACGTCATTTTAGTAACCAGTATTTCAAACACGAGCGTAGCAGAACAGAGCGAGTGTTTAATAAACGAGTGTCTAGAAGAGTTTATGAAGGCGTTACATACTATACTTTTTCTACGAACTCATAATTCCTCTCTTCGACAAGATCACACATTTCCGAAAATTAGATTTGCTAACCTACAAACTAATTCGAAGGGAATGGGAATTGAGAACATAATACATAATACTATGCAACTGCATGCAGTTGGTTGGAGTAACCATTCCTTTGAAGACATCCATTTCGATGCTTGGTATTATTATCAGCAATAACCTTTCTTGGGAAAATCACGTGAGATCAATTGCTAAAAGTGCATCCCAAGAACTTGGTTTTCTGTTTCGTGCCAGGAGCTATTTCACTTCCAGTCAGCTGCTTATGATATATAAGGCACCGATCCGACCTGTCCTGGAATACTGTTCCCATATTTGGAGTGCAGCACCCAAACCCTGAAACTGTTGGATTCTGTCCAAAAAAGGGCAATTCGTCTCGTGGGTGATGCCTCGCTCACAAACTCACTCACTTCTCTGGAACACCGTAGAAAAGTTGGCGATCTGGCTCTATTTTATTGATATTTTCATGGACGATGTTCTTCTGAAATATCAACAATTGTTCCTTCCTTGGCAGTCCCCGCGAGATTAACCCGTCGAGTTGAGGCTTCGCACCCCTTCGTGGTCACTATGGAGAACACCAATTCCTACCAATCAATCAATCTTTTATTTCCATTTTTCGACATGGTATTATACATGTATTGGAATTGTCAGTCAGTTAAATATAAAATAGTCAAAATGAAATAAAATAAGATATAAGTACAAGATTTAAAATAGTAATAATAATAATACATAAAATGATGATTGCATAAAAAAGAACTAATGCACAAAATATGAAACACTACACTGAGTAATACATTCCACACAGAATTTAAATATCTATAAAATCTTTCATACTATAGAAACATTCTTCCAATAAAAAACATTTCAGTTCTGATTTGAATGAAGATAGTCTCTCGATATTTTTTATTCTGTCTGGAAGATAGTTAAACATTTTGAGACCAAGATGATCAGGAGTATCGGATATAACTTTCTTTTTGGCAAAGGGGACATGAAAATTGTCCATTGTCCTTGTTTCATACCCACATACCCATGAACATTTTAAAATTGGTTGTACAAGATTCTCTATGTGGAATTCTAGCGATACATCTCAATATTTGCTTTTGACTAATGAAAACATCTTTCCAATCAGGTGAGTCGCCTCAGAGGCAAACACCATACTTTAGCCTCGATTCAACTTGAGCGTCGTACACATTCATCATCTGATCAACTTCCAGGACTGTTCGCAGATTAATGAAAAGACATTTCAAAGAATTCAATTTTGAATACAATTGCTGGCAATGCGATTTCCAGAAGAGGTTCCTAAAAACTGAAACACATGAGTGTTGCAAAGAGAGTATTCATCTAGCTTAATTCAATTGATTCTCACGATGTTCTCTGAACATTACAGGATATCCCTTTTCGTGAGAACCAGAACATAAAAAAAGATGTGTGTCCAGTCGATAGGATACATGAATTTCTTGTTTACTGACCTTTGTGAATAAGATTTCATCTGACGTAGTAGATAAAAACTATTCGATTCGCTGAGGTGTCAAAGTTTTCGATTTCTTAGGTTTGTATCCATATTATTCTGATTGCATAATTTTGCTCACATGGATATTGTGTTTTAGCTTTGAATGAATTGCCCACAAAGATGCGAGGTTCAGAGTTCTTGGAAATATGCAAGTACTTACCTAAAACATTCTCTCTTCGATTTCACTTTCGTCTACATTTCGCAAAGATTTTCAATGAAGAATTCTGATACGAACAGAAATTTTTTGAATAATTCTGATTGCAACAAAATTCGGCAATGACAGTTGACAGTTCCTACAATTGACAGGCCGGACAGGACTCGAACGACTGAAGGTGTATTTAAAAAACTCAGTTGCCATGGTAATGTGTTTGAGAAACCGTGTTGCCATGGTAACGTTTTTTATATTTAATAATCATAATGTTGAGAAGCTGAATTGGTAGACTTCTTACAACTATTTCATACGAGTACCTACTGCAAGACACTGCCGTGTCTCTGAATCTAAATAAAAATCGCTCATCCTGAAGATCCAGATCAGGATAATGGAACATAACTATCAAATTGTGATATTGTCATCAGTCCAGTGTGTGAAGTTTTAATTCAATTCGATGTTTTCAAGTGGGTCAGAATCACCCGTTTCTCTATTCATTCATACGAGTACTTGGTGCGAGAGTGCGAGACACTGCCGTCAGAACATCATTCACCATTTCTTCGAGAAAATTGTTCATCCTGAAGATCCCGATCATGATAATAATGAAACAAAACTATCGAATTACGCTACTTTCATCGGTCCTTGATAAGTGTGCGAAGTTTCAATTTAATTCGACGTTTTCAACTGGGTCAAAATCACCCGTTCCTCTTTTTATTCATACGAGTACTTGGTGCAAGACACTATCGTCTCGAACATTTGAAATTTTGGTGGCGGAACTTTGAAATTCTGGTGGCAGAACATCATTCACCATTTTATTCGAGAAAATTGTTCATCCTGAAGATCCCGATCATGATAATAATGAAACAAAACTATCCAATTATGCTATTTTCATCGGCATTTGATAAGTGTGTGAAGTTTATTCAATTCAATTCGACGTTTTGAAGTGGGTCAAAATCACCCGTTTATCTATTCATTCAAACGAGTACTTGGTGCAAGACACTGCCATCTCTCTGGATATAAAAAGCTATTCGTAGGAATAAAAACGAACATTCGAAATTTTGGTGGCGGAACTTTGGAATTCTGGTGGCAGAACATCATTCACCATTTTGTTCGAGAAAATCGCTCAACCTGAAGATCCCGATCATGAGATAAAACTGACAAAACGTATGGGGTTATAGGGCCTGCCAATATCATTGCAAAATGCCATATACAAAAGTTTTGAACCGCTTCGTTACTGGCATACAGAGTGATTCGTGGATTTTGACAAAAATTCAATCTGCCATATTAAATACAGGATCACCAGATTGGGTTCAAATTTGGTAAATGAACTAAACTCAAAGGCTTCAATGAGTAACCTCCTGAACAAAACCAATATCAAGACCGGAATATATTTGTTCTTCCTATGTTGAGTTATTGTGAGATAAACTCATCCTCTATAATAATTATCAAAAAGCTGAGGTCACATTATGAATCTATACGGGAAAAATACTATAGGAACTTGTTGAGAACGTTCTCTCACAATTTCAGTCATTCCGTAATAATTTTTTTTCATTAGTTGTCGGCTAAAATATCATCAGAAATGGAAATATGATGAATATTTACGAAACCAAGACATAATTGTTCTTAATGTCTTTCATTACTTATATAAATTACTCTAGTAACCTAAAAAAACTGAAGAATATATTCGTATCAGGACCGGAATGACTATTTTTCATGTTTTTGTAAAAGTACAGTGTCTCCCTATATAAAGGGTCTCCACAAAATCTCGACACATATTTCTGAGGTTTATATAAACCAATTTGAAGCAACTTGTCTCTGTCCGAAATTTCTCCATTTCCTAGATACAGGGTGGTCAATTTCAAAAATAAAAATAGATTTTTTTTCAAAATTTCCTTATTCACTACAATGTTCATTCAGTGCTCGTTGAACAATATACTATTTTTCAATTTCGAGTACCTACTGATACAATTTTGATGATGTGTATTATGTGGTTACTGGAAGAATCTGAGTGAATACATTTTTTTGTAGAAAATCAAGGGGGAGGGGCAACTGCCTCCCTCTGCCCCTTCCCCTAAATGATGCCCATGTCAAAAATGTCGATAGATCACGAGGCAAATTTCAAAACTTCGCCTGAGGCCAGATTTTTCTGCCCACTAGGACTTTTCATATGAATTGTTGCGACATATGATAAATGAAATGTAAAATTATTGAATTCGTTTCTAATTTGTGTAATATGTCATTCTCCACACTATAGTTATGTTATCAACTATTTGATATGCTACATTGAATTGGTGACTTTCATTTTGCTTTTTATTTTGCAGACAACTATGTCCATTGATGGCCACAATGTCAAGATAATACAAACTATACGAGGCCATACAAGTGATGTCACCTGCTGCGATTTCGCGCCAAATTTCACTTTAATCACTGGATCTAGGTAGGTAAGGCATAAAAACTGTTTGACACAAGATGAGTGGGATTAAAAAATATATCAACTCCAATAATTTTCATCATGAGAATTCCTCGGAGAATTCGATGCGAGCAGTACCTAGTTGATTTCATATTTTTATTTCAATTTGTATCTCTAAATTAATTGATTGGTATTTCTTCAAATATCAGTATAAATATACAGGGTATTTCAGGATGAGCCTACACTATCTTTATATCGAGAATCAGTCGGAAAAAATTCATGAAAATGTGCTTGCTTATATTTTAGAATACGCTTTCTTCATTTAAAATATTTTCGACAATGCAGTGTTGCCGCTTCTACTAGAAAGTAGTAGCAACATTGATATCTCAAATGGAAACAAATATTCGTAAATGAACGAAACTGGTAGATAACGAGTGAAAAACAGAAAAAAAAACAACTACTTTCCTGGATGTATGCCACGCAGAACATTGTATTTCATCTTCCCGAAATCTATGCAACGATTCGTACTCGGATTCGTATATGCGCAACTGCAAGTCTTTCTTTCCTAAATGCTGAGTTGTGCTCGAATTGTTCGTGGGTGCTTGACTACCTACAGAACAGTTTCGAGCGTTGGCTGTCATCAGTGCAGGGATGTCCCCAGGTGACATTCATGACCGCCATTTGGTATGAACCTGACCCAACGTAAATACCTCTCAGCATCTTGGGAAGAAGCGATCAGTATATGTTTGGTTATCCCATTGTCGTTTTAAATGAAATATTTAATAGGCAAGAGGTATAATATTGTGCAAAATCACCCTCATTGACCACATTTTCAGTAAGCCAGCGACCTCTATGCCGAAATTAATGGGCTATTCTGTCGCAGCTATCCCGTGTTCAACGAAGAGAAGAACTACTTTCCTGGCTATATGCCAAGCAGAACATTGAATTACATCCACCCGAAAGCTATGCAACGATTTGCATAAACGAATATAGTTGCAAGTGTGATTTTTTCCTTGATGATGAGGTGTGCTCAACTTGTCCAGGCACGCTTGCCTACCTACTTACCAGTTTCGAGCTTTGGCCCTGTTCAGGGGTGTCCCCAGATGGCATTCATGATGGCCATCTGGTGCGAACCTGACCCACCGTAAACACATTCCAGCATTCAATACACACGTGCCCAACTGAATAAATAAACAAAGCTCAAAGTCATTGCCACAAATGTTCGTAAATGAACGAAAGAAGAAGAAAAACAACTACTTTCCTAGCTATATGCCACGCAGAACATTGTATTACATCTTCCCGGAATCTATGCAACGATTCGTATAGGCGCAACTACAACTGTTTCTTTCCTAAATGCTCAGTTGTGCCTAAATTGTTCATGGACGCTTGACTACCTACAGACCAGTTTCGAGCTTTCGCTCTCATCAGTGCAGGGGTGTCCCCAGATGGCATTCATGACCGCCATTTGGTGCAAACCTGACCCAACGATTCGTATAGGCGCAACTGCATTTGTTACTTTTCTAAATACTGAGTTGTGCTTGAATTGTTTATGAACGATTGACTACCTGCAGACCAGTTTCGAGCGGTGGCTCTCATCAGTGCAGGGGTGTCTCCAGATGGCATTCATGACCGCAATTGGGTGCGATCCTGACCCAACGTAAATACCTCTCAGCATCTCGGGAAGAAGCGATCAGTATATGTTTGGTTATCACATTGTCGTTTCAAATGAAAATGTATTTAATGAGCAAGAGGTATAATATATTGTGCAAAATCACCCTCATTTTTACATTTTCAACGAGATTTTCAATGAGCCTGTGACCTCTATGCCGAAATTAATGGGCTATTCTGTCGCAGCTATCTCGTGTTCAACAAAGAGAAGAACTACTAGGCTATATGCCAAGCAGAACAATGAATTACATCCTCCCGAAAGCTATGCAACGATTCGCTTAGACGAATATAGTTGCAAGTGATTTTTTCCTTGATGATGAGTTGTGCTCAAATTGTTCAGAAACGCTTGACTTCCTACTTACCAGTTTCGAACTTTGGCTCTCATCAGTAAACACATCCCAGCATTTAATACTCACGAGGCGTTCGGCATCTTCGAGATGAACACGAACGCCACCTGAGTAGAAGGAAAGAAACACTACAAAACAAATTCCCATTTCAGATGCACAAAGTGGAATGAAATGTTGAATAAATATACAAAGCTCGAAAGTAATTTCCACAAATGTTCGTAAATGAACGAAACCGGTAGGTAACGAGTAAAAAACAGAAAACAAGTACTTTCCTAGCTATATGCCACCCAGAACATTGTATTACATCTTTCCGAAATCTACAAGGTGATTCTAAAATAGGTGTTCAAACTTTGGGAGCATATAGAGTGGGTGAAATAGTTACGAAAACCCCTGTAATTTTTTTTTCTTAAGTGACCCCCAAGAAAGATACAGCCCCTCAAAGGGAGTCCTCGGAGAATGATTTTGTATCATTATCTCCAACACCTTGTATAATGAAAATCTGAAATTTTGTCCATCCACTTACTGTTCAGTACCGGTTCGAATGGACTTGAAATCACCTCAAAATAAAATACAGGGATGTGTTAAAATAGGGAGGTAGGAGGTTAAAATTACCCCAACTTTTTTGTTCATCGCAATTTCAGTTTTTTGACATGAAATTACGAAATCTCAGGGCTATTTACATAGAAAAGGTGCTTTTGTTGCATCTGGATAATATGAACTATTACTGAATAAAATTTAAAAAAGCTTGTTTTTAACAATATTTTTTATTTTAGTATTTTCAATAGGATCAGACCATAATCACGAAACTGGTCATCCATTTTTAATTAATTAATTCCGACAATGAATTCAAAATTTACAACCACAAAAACCCTTACAAACCAATTTTGAATCGAATCGAACCATAATCACAAATCTGGTCAGCCACATTGGAGCCGCCATATTTTTTTCTATCGAAAAGTCCTCAACGCGTTGTCAACTGTCATCTGACAGATTCCAAGTTCATCAGACGATTAGAAGTAGGTAAAAATTCAGTTGCAAGATTTGAACTAGATAATTAAACTTTGCAATTTAAATGATATTTTGGAAAAATAAATGTTATTCGCTAATGGTTCAGTTAATCGAGATTCAACAAGAGCTCTTTTCCTATGTTAGTAGCCCTGAGATTTCATAATTTCATGTAAAAAAACTGAAATTGCGATGAACAAAAAAGTTGGGGTTATTTTTACCCCCTACCTCCCTGTTTTGACACATCCCTGTATTCAATTGCGAGGTGTTTTTTACTCCATTCGAACCGACACTGAATAGTTAGTGGATAAACAAAATTTTAGATTTCCGTCATACAAGGTGTTGGAGACAATAGTACAAAATTATTCTCCAAGGCCCCCCTTTGAGGGGCTGTATCTTTCTTGGGGGGCACTTCAGAAGAAAATGTTACAGAGGTTTTCGTGATTATTTCACTTACTCTATATACTCCCAAAGTTTGACCACCTATTTTAGAATCACCTTGTATAAAACGATTCGTATAGGCGCAACTGCAACTGTGTCTTTCCTATATATGCTGAGTTGTGCTTAAATTGTTCATGAACTCTTGACTATCTAGAGACCAGTTTCGAGCGTTGGCTCTCATCAGTGCAGGGGTGTCCCCAGATGGCATTCATTACCGCCATTTGGTGCGAACCTGACCGTTACCACCGATAAAACAAGGCCAGCAGACTCTGACGTAAACAGCTCGTGACGTCGCATACTCAGGCCATCTTCCAAGGCATTCGCGTCGATCGATCGTCAGTTTGTTTTTGTTTAAGAACGGTGGCGTAGGTAAATCGCGTGTGCTCGAATTCTCTTGTTGTTTATTCATCAAAATAATTGGCGGAGAAATTACTGTTTTGTGAAATATTTCGTGTTGTGATAGGCGAAATAACAATGCCTTACAAGTGTTGTGTTTCCCTTTGTCGGGGGAATTATGTGGGTGGTCCAAAAGTTCATGCTTTTAGTTTCCCGTTGGACAAGGAACTATCGAAAAAGTGGGTACATGCAATTCACCGCAAGGATTTTACGACTCCATCTAAGTACAGTAAAGTATGTGAATTACATTTTACTAAAGATGATATTATTACTTCATCTACTGCAACCGATTCAAAAACTGGCAAAACTGTAACAATAGATTTGAAAATTCCTAGGCTCAAACGAGATGTTCTTCCCACTCAATTTCCTAACTGTCCATCTTATTTATCGAAAGATGTAAAATTACGCACAAGTCGTGATGAAAAACTTGAGATACTAGAGACTAAAAATTTGGCACAAGCACTTACCAAAAGTAAAACTGAATTCGAAAATTACCAAAAATCATTTTGCTATACAGAATTTCTAGTTGTATTAGAGTCTTTTCAGTCGCCCGAAAAGTGGTTCAAAATTATCGATTTGCAAAAAGTCACATTATTCAAATTGTCTTATTCTCCAGGGCTTGTAATTACATATTCGGTTGTGATTGATTTTGTTTTGAATGTGGAATCATTTTTGTATGACCTAGCGATACAAACATCTCTAAAAGCCAATCTGAAAACACCTTTTATCTCAAATAATATCAATCAAATCAAGGAATTACTAATTGAAATAGATTAAAACGAGATACATAATTCGGGAAAATGTCTTGATAATCAGAAAAAGAGGGTTTTGAAACATATTTCGAATGCATTGGACTCTTTGGTTTCTGACTCAATACATTCTCAAATTTCTTTCTGAAAACGGTCATTTGCCTCGTGGCAATGAATTCATTCCAATGATCAAATTGCAACTATTATATTAACATGTACTACAAACACTCTACTTTAAAATTACTGTTTCAAGTCTAACGACCAATTGGGTAAAAAATCCAACAACAGGAAATTGAAAACACTCACTGGCTAATTTTTTAGGTAATAGGAATTCTCCAAGATAAATATAGGTAATTAGGTATAACAAACGGCATGTCTATCAAACTAAAATACATTTTCCTCAATTTTCTTTCGATCAATCTCATGATAAGTTTATGTTCTGCGGGCCCTGTATAAGTAGGTGTGAAGTTTACCTCTAATGAGATTGAATCACTACAATTTTTGCCAATATATTCAATTCGAATGGGTTGCTGTAGGTGGGTATTTGTGTTTTGTTCTGGTTTTTGGTTTAAAACTCCGTTTTTCCATAATAAAATCGAATGGGATGCGAAGAAGGGCTCAGTTGACGGCTGGCATCCTCTTTCAACCGGAAGCCCTTCAAAAAAAAAAGCAAAATCGGCTCAATAATGATCTAAAACTAAAATCGAAATACGCGGTCGCCTTATAGCGCTATAAGCGCTTGTCGTTTCGAGCCGCTGGTTAGGCCTGACTAAGTGACGTCACCCACGGAGCATGCAGGCCTTGTTTTATCGGTGGTAACGACCTGACCCAATGTAGATACCTCAGCATCTCGTGTTTGTTAATTTCTTCTTCTTCTTCTTTCAGCGACAAGACCGTCCGGATATGGGACTGGACCGGCGGCAGAGGCTATACAGAGCGCTCGTGCAGTCCGCTGCGCGCGCACAAGTACCAAGTAACGTGCGTGCGCGCGTCGCCGCAAGGCTCTATGTTGGCCAGCGCCTCCGTCGACGGCACGGCGGTGGTGTGGAGCGTCGCGACGTGCGCTCGGCTCTACACGATGACGCAGGTGAACGGGGACGCCGTGCGGGTGTGCAGGTGGGTGTGGGGTGGGGGGCGATTGCGGGTGGTTAGGCGGTGCTTGGCCTCAAATACAACAATTGGATACAGACAGTGTGAAACTGCTGTTCACGGTTGATATTTGATGTGTAGCGGCGGAAAGACTTTCATATAAACTCAAAACATAATTATTCCGACGATCATTCAGCTATCGAGTTTTCCATCTTTATAACCAACTACCCTTGATACGAGGAACTTTAGAGTATTTTACCAAGTTTTAAAGAGTGTCAAATATAAAATATTGTGTGAGCTTAGTCATTTCACCGACTTTCATTCTATCATTTAATGTACCTACTGCTACAAAATAACATCACTACACAGCTTTATGAAGGTTAAGTTCATGAACAAGTATGTGATGTTCCACCACTAAATTTGAACTTCGCCTATTATTTTCTACTTTGTAATATTGTTATTCTCTCGTTTTTTTATTATTTTTGAATTTTCAATGAAAATAATTTATTATTATTATTGTTATCAAATTGAGCACGATTCGGGAAGGATAACATACAGTGGTTCCTTCCTTCCTTTGAAAAATGTCACTTCACTTATTGGTGTACCGGCGCTATACCATTTCATTGAAAAACATGGGAATATTCATGGATTATTTCATGAATATACAACACAGAATAATCAGTTAGAAATATTTCATAAATGTACAACACAGAATATTCGGTTGGGAATATTCCAGGATCATTCATACATGAATATTCCCTGAACAATCCAACTAGAATATTCTGAGAATATTCAATCTTGAATACTCCTGCAAGAATATTCCTTTTATAATATTTTGGAATATATTACTAGAATATTCACATTGGAATATTCCTTGGATGTTTTTGAGGCATGTATATATCCTAGGAGTATTCGGTGGATATCCGGAATATACTTCTCCTTTTTAGCATATTCAGAGATTATTCTAGGAATATCCAGTGCTATTTGGGAATATAACTGTCTGAATTTGTTTTCAGATTTTCGCCAGACAGTGCCATATTAGTAACGGCAGGTGATAATGGAGCGATATGCATCTGGGATTTGGTTCATAGGAGTTTAATCAAGTGAGTCATAATAATTGAAGAAATAAGTTACAGAAATCATTTGATTTTTTTATTCTGCAATGCACAGTTCGCAATGTACACGTTATCCTCATTTTTGGCACTTTTGTGGGATGTCTTCCTAATCTTCTTCTTTAAATTACTCCTGTTTTCAAGTCATGAAAACATATCTATTGTTTCAATGGAACAAACTGATATAGTTAGATAGACGCTGATTCGAGCTTTCTTTGCTGAAATAACAGTCTGGGATCCAACAACCTAGTTGTATTGAACGCCACCAAAACTCAAGCCAGTATTTTCTCTAGAAAGGCGGAACTCATCAGTATGTCTGGTACCACCATTCTCACCAAGACAACTATATCTATCCATCGCGGAAGCTGTTTCACAAAAAGTCGAATTTTTATTCCGTGCGAAAATATTCTTTACACCCCAATAACATCTCATAATCTACCAAGGACAGATACGGCCAGTATTAGAAAATTGTTCTCACATATGGGGTTCAGCACCCAAACATATGCTGATGCTCTTATAGATTCCATCCAGAGAAGAGCCATTCGCCTAGTGGGTGATGCCACACCCACTAACTCTTTGATATCATTGGAATACCGTAGAAAAGTGGGCGACCTTTCACTTTTTTATGGATACTTCCACGGGAAATGTTCCTTAAAAAACTCTGCTAGAATTCTATCACCAGTCAGAATATCCTTTCATTGTTAACCTTGAAATATGTCGAACAACAATTTGTCAAAACTCGTTTGACTATAGAACGGCAAAGCTTTGGAATTCCTTGCCTAAGGAAGTATTCCAAAGAACTTATAGCCTTCAAATGTTGAAAAATAAATCCGAAACCTACCTCCTCTCCCTATCCTCCCTATAGGTACGCACGACGTTCTTCAAACTTCATAGGGATTCCTGCTCGTGTGCTCCAAGCGATAGAAAATAAATTGGGCATTTGCACTCTGACATTTTCAGTTTTTTTTATCTCTTGGAGCGCACGAAAGGAAATTCCTATAATGTTCGTGGAACATCGCGCGTACCTAGAGAGGATAGGAAGCAGAGGTAGGTGTTGGATGTTTTTTTTTCAATTTTTTGAGGTTATACGTTCTTGGGACTACTTTCATTGGCAAAGAATTCGAAAGCTTCGAAGATCTATATGAACGAAAGAGTTTTGGTAGAGAGTTGTTCGGCATTTTTCAAGGTTAACGACGAAGGGATGTGCTGACCGGTATTGGTAGCGATGAAATCATATCAGCTATTTCTGAGCAAAATTTCCCGTGGAAGTATCTGTAGAGAAGTGAATGGTTGCTTAACTTTTCTACGGTGTTCTATAATGAAGTATAAGATTTAGTGAGTGTGGCATCACCGAGGAGGCGACTGGCTCTTCTCTGGATGGAATCTAATAGCATCAGCGTCTGTTTGGGTGTATATGTGCTTTCTAGAACATGAGAAGCTGTTGAGGTGTAATGTAGATTTTTGCACGGAACAAGAATCGGAAACATCGGACATGACTTTCCCATGAGAGAGTATTGCTGATGGTTATACCGAGCATAGATATAATAGTCTTGGTTGTTATATCAGGTTTTAGAGAAAATACAGACTTGAGTATTGATGGCGTTGAATTCAACTAGGTTGTTGGTTTTCCAGGCTGTAATTTCCGCAAGATCTTCATTAACAGCGTTGGCCTGCCTTTGTAGTAATTTCTTAGTTTCCTAGGAAGAAATGGGAATTCTAGAAGAGAACGCAGTATGGAGAGTACTATCGTCTGCAAAGCTTATCGAATAATGATCGACTGTTTCCCGAACGATATTCGACCACGAAGACACCACGCATGCTCTAGCCTTCACCACTGATTCGCAGTACCTCCTCCAATAGTCACAAAACTGTTGTGCAGGTGGTTAGTCGTTACCTGGCTTCAATTCTATCACAATTCGGCATTTATGCCCCTTGGGAAATTTCTAGTTCCTCACCCATTCTCCTCGAATATTGATCGATTGTTTCCAGAACGATATTCGACCAGGAACGTACCACTCAAGCTCTAGCCTTTACCCCAGAATCGCAGTGCCTGTCTGTGTGTCTGGGTACATGTTGTGCAGGTAGTTAGTCGGTACCTGGCTTCAATTCTATCACAATTTGGCATTTTTGCCCTCTGTAAAATTTCTAGTTCCTCACCCATTTTCCTCTAGTAATGATCGATTGTTTCCAGAACGATATTCGACCAGGAAGGTACCACCCAAGCTCTAGCCTTCACCCCAGAATCGCAGTGCATGTCTGTGTACCTGTTGTGCAGGTGGTTAGTCGGTACCTGGCTTCAATTCTATCACAATTTGGCATTTTTGCCCTCTGTAAAATTGCGAGTTCCTCACCCATTCTCCTCGAATGATGATCGATTGTTTCCAGAACGACATTCGACCACGAAGGTACCACCCGATTCGAAGTAACTGTTCCAATAGTCAAAAAACTATCGTGCAGGTGGTTAGTCGGTACCTGGCTTCAATTCAAGCACAATTGGGCAATTTTACGCTCTGAAATTTCTAGTTCGTCAGCCATTCTCCTCGAATGATGATCAATTGTTTCCAGAAAGATATTCGACCACGAAGGTACCACCCAAGCTCTAGCCTTCACCTCCGAATCGCAGTACCTGCTCCAATAGTCACAAAACGGTTGTGCAGGTGGTTAGACGGTACCTGGCTTCAATTCAATCACAATTTGTCATCTGTCCTCTGTGAAATTTTTAGTTCCCCACCCTTTTTCCTCGAATAATGATCGACTGTTTCCAGAACGATATTCGACCACGAAGGCACCACGCAAGCTCTAAGCCTTCACCTCCCATTCGCAGTATCGGTTAGTCGGTACTAGAGTCCCTGTATATACCTTAGACAAGAGTCCGGACACAAAACTGACAGCCGTTGGGGTTCTTAATATTTTGTTTCATTTGGTTTGCCCACCTGACAATGTGACGAAACACCATAGTCGTCCCGTCCGCTTTTTTTAATTATTTCGAATTTCTGTCACTGTCACAATTTAGCATTTCAAATTATTTCAATGTCCTGCTGCGTACATTATTGCAATAATTCATTGGAAAACGGATTCAAGTTATTCAATTTTCCGAATGATCCTTTAAAGATAATGTCATGGAAGAATGCAATGAAACGTCCAGAATGGAAAATTAATTTCAAGAAATCCGCAATATGTGAGGTAAATATTCAAATTTTCTTGTGAAAACAGTACAAAAAAGATGAATTTTAGGCCCATTTTGATAGAGATTTTTTCGAGCTGATGGATTTCAAATTGAAAGAGAGTCTGCTGTGCCGTCAATTTATGAAAAAGAGACGTTCAAAGGAAATAGTTACGTCGTCATCGTATTGGGAATCACTGAATGATGAAAATGAGAATGAGATGATGCGGAAAGAAATTGAAAGTTTAAAATCAAAACAAGAAGATTTAGAGAAATTACAATGTGCTATGTCATCAGTCTACGGTGTTTTTAATTCAGATCAAATTCAAAATTTACAGGTGATTGTAGACTGCAGGAAGAGGTGGGAAACCGACACAATCAAAAATATATTGAAACAATTATATATCTTCTATTTTTTTATATCCCAACAGAAAACAACAATATTTCCTTGGCTATATGTGATACCACGTAGAACATTCAAGTTATCTTTCTTAAATGAAGTGATCGAAGAAATATCTGATGACAAAAATTTGCAATAGTCATCACAGGAATTGATTATGAAAATTACCGATTCGAAATTTGAACACCCTGTTGTTCATTATTTGAAAATCTAATATTTATTCTAGTTGAAATAGACCTATTTCTCACTTCTACCTACGGCTATGAACGGTTTGACAAATAATCTAACCCTCAAAATTATTTCTGACAATCTAAGGTATATACAGGGACTCTAGTCGGTACTTGGCTTTAATTCTACCACAATTTGGCATTTGCCCTCTGTAAAATTTCTAGTTCCTCACCCATTCTCCTCGAATGATGATCGATTGTTTCCAGAACGATATTCGACCACGAAGGTACCACGCAAGCGCTAGCCTTCACCCCCGATTCGCAGTACCTGGTGACGGCGTGCTCGTTGGAGGTGGTGCGCGTGTGGCTCGTCCGCGACCTGGTCGACACTGCTGCCGACGCCCTGTGCTGCCCCCTGGCCAGGGTGGACAACGTGCAGGACATGGGGGTGCTCTCGGTCGACGTGTCCAGACGGATCACTTTCGACGGTGAGAATTAGTGACATTTTTTGTTGGGAGTTTTTTTTTCTCTGAATTTAGACTTCTCCTTGAATGCTGATTTTTTAATTTCACTTGATATTTTGGGATTTTCTCTCCTCGTTCCTATAAAATAAAAATATTCGTTTTTAAAAAGGAATATTCTCAGATGAATTATGAACATACAAAAATGGATATATATTTATATAAAGCAATACATTGAGAATTCGCATTCTCTATGTGATGAGAATATTTACTCTTTTTCAGTTAATTCAATAGAAAACAACTACTTTCCTGGCTATATGCCACGACGAACATTGAATTATATCTATTGAACACACACGATAAGAGTTTGAAAATAAAATATAAAACATTCTGAAATTGAGAATTTGCATTCTCCTTCAGACAAAAATATGTATATATACACATCATTCTGAATATTCAACAGAAAACAACTACTTTCCTGGCTATTTGCCACGTCGAACATTGAATTATATCTGATGAATATTCAAAAGGGGAACATGAAAAATAAAGAATAAAATCCTCCGAAATTGAGAATTGACATTCTTCTTGAAATCGGATGAATAATATGATGAATAATGATCTAGAAATTGGTAAGTCATATTTCTAGATCATTATTCATCATATTATTCATCCGATTTCAAGAAGAATGTCAATTCTCAATTTCGGAGGATTTTATTCTTTATTTTTCATGTTCCCCTTTTGAATATTCATCAGATATAATTCAATGTTCGACGTGGCAAATAGCCAGGAAAGTAGTTGTTTTCTGTTGAATATTCAGAATGATGTGTATATATACATATTTTTGTCTGAAGGAGAATGCAAATTCTCAATTTCAGAATTTTTTATATTTTATTTTCAAACTCTTATCGTGTGTGTTCAATAGATATAATTCAATGTTCGTCGTGGCATATAGCCAGGAAAGTAGTTGTTTTCTATTGAATTAACTGAAAAAGAGTAAATATTCTCATCACATAGAGAATGCGAATTCTCAATGTATTGCTTTATATAAATATATATCCATTTTTGTATGTTCATAATTCATCTGAGAATATTCCTTTTTTAAAACTTTCATACCCAATCAGGGGGTTCAAACTTGAACGATGGAAACTTGTGATTTTTATAGACCTCTAATCGCAGATTCGTGATAGAGTCTCAATTCAGAATTCATTTCCACGCCCTGTATGATGAATATCAATTTATCATACACCCAAAAGCAAAAATATTCGTATTATTATATAGAAACGAGGAGAGAAAATACCAAAAAATCAGACAGTATGCGGTCTTTTTTTTATGAATTTGAACTTTATTCGCTGAAATCAGACTGCATTCTCTGAATTTAGACTGTTTTCTCTGAATTCAGACTTTTCACTTCTAATACAGACCTGTGTTTTCCCTGAATTCCGACTTTTTACTACCTCCTGTCCCTATCCTCCCTAGGAACGCACGATGTTCTTTGAACATTATAGGGATTCCCTTTCGTGCGCTACAAGCGATAAAACAAAATATATATAAATAGTTTTTTCTGTATTTAAACTTTTTTATATGAATTCAGACTTTATTCTCTGAAATCAGACTGTATTATCTGAATTCACACTGTTTTCTCTGCATTCAGACTTCTTTCTTCCGATACAGACCTGTTTCCATATGAATTCAGACTTTTATTCCTGAATTCAGACTTTTTTCCTTGAATTCAGACTTCTTTCTTTGAATTCAGACCTTATTTTCTGAAATCAGACTGGATTCTCTGAATTCAGACTTTTTTCTTTGAATACAGACCTGTTTTCCCTGAATACAGACATTTTCCTTCAAATAAATTTTTTTTTTGTTTCTGATATCAGACTTTTTTATATGAATTCAGACTCTATTTTCTGATTTCAGCCTCTGTTTCTTCGAATTCAGACTTTTATTATTCTCGGAATTTTTTCTTCAAATACAGACCATTTCTTTGGATTCAGACTTTGCTTTGAATTCTGACATTCTCCTTTGAATTCATACTTTTTCTGTTAACTCAGACTATTTCTGTGAATTCAGACTGTATTCTTTGAATTCAGCCTTTTTTCTTTGAATTCGGACTTTATTCTCTGAATTCAGACTTTTTCCTCCAAATACTGACTTTTTCCTCTGATTATGATTTCAGACTTTTTTTCTGTGAATTCAGACATTCTTCTCTCAATTCAGACTTTTTTCATTGATTTCAGACTTTATTTTCTGAATTCAGCCTTTTTTCTCTAAATTCAGACTTTGAATTCATCTTCTTTTCATTGATTTCAGACTTTAATTTCTGAATTCTGCAATTTTTCTCTCAAATCAGACGTTTTTCTCCCAGACTTTTCTCTTCAAATTCAGACTTTTTTCTATGAGTTTAAATTTTTCTCTTTGAATACAATATTTTGTCAGTATACTACAATACAAAATGTTGTCATCCTAGCAATTCACTGGCACACATATATCCCTCAGTATTATAAAAACAGTTTTTTGTTAGGAACTCTTTGATGAAAGTCTTAAATGGACCGATCGCCATGCGCCTCACTGTATAAGAGCCGCTTTCCAATTGCCTCAGCAAACTCACTGAGTAACTCCAAGTAGATCTCGAACTGATCAACAGCGTTCCCATCACGAAGAGCTTGGAGCACTCGAAATGCTACCTACCCCCTTCCCCTCGAGCACCATCTTTTTCAATTCGCGATAAAAAATAATACATCGGCCCATCTGAGGGCAACATTTGAAAAATTCAGAGTAGTTTGTTTTGATAGATGTGACCAATAAACACAAACAAAAATGAAATGTAAGCCAATGAAAACGAAGTAAAGAGACCGCATTGACAGCTTCCAAAAACTCCGATAGGTGGCGTACGCTTATTTTCTATCGCGAATTGGCAAGGTGACGATTCCGATACGGCACCTGGTGGGCAAATTTGAACCAGTTTAGGACGTAATTCAAGGTCATGTTTGTTATTGTGTTCAGATGGTTTCATATTTTATGAATACCATTCAACAAATTACGTTAATTTTCTCTTCTTGCGTCTCTTGAGTACAAGACATGAACTTTATATCAATTGCCTAATCAATTCTATATTATTTTATAAATTAGTATTAACAAATCTCTGAAAATACGCGAAATCAACTGTGTTTGGTTGCTGGTTGAACTAGTAAAAGGTTCCAATGGATGTAGGACCTATAATATGTCCTCTAATATGAATTTCCTGCACTCAAGAAGTCTTCTCTGATAATGAAAAATCAGTTCAGCTGAATGGAAAAAATGGATAAACGTTGAGAATCCAATATGAGTTTGAAAACTGGATGTATGCAGCTCCAACAAAAACTTCCTACCTTTCTTCAATTCATTGGTCCAATAATGATAACAATAAGGTAAATTTGTGATTCACTGATATATTTATTACTGATGAATAACTCTTATTTGCAGTGCCTATCTGAGAGAGAACATGATTGAAATTATCAACAGTTCATACCTATTTTGTTTATGGGGAAATGTCTCCAGGACTTGGAAAAATAAGTATCTTTGTTTTTCTTTCAAATATTTTCATAAGAAAAATAAAGAAGCAAATTCAATGCCTTTGACTTTTGAACTGCAATACACAAAGCTGGGCAAGAAAAAAGACATTATGAACATGTGAAGGTTGGTAATTTATGGTTTTATTTGTAATGCTTGACTCATATTAAAATCTTGTTCATGACATCCTGCCTAGGCCTCCATAGATTCCTATTTTGTAGTATCATCTTTGTAGTAAAATAGCCAATGCAGATTGCATGTACTTCCAAAATGATTAAGTTAAATACAGCTCCCAATTACATTCACATGAGCAAAAACAGTAGCATATTTTATAGATATATAATAACCCTGGTACAAGCAGGTCATTGTAGGTAGCTTACTTCATAGCTTGAATTGCTGGAATTGAATCTTTGAACATACATTGAAGTGACACAATCTAATAGATATGGTTTGTTTAGAGAAGGTACTAACATTTCTTAAATTTTTCAGCAGGGGAGGAGTTGCCATCCAGGGTATCTTACAATTGAGTGCAAATAGTTACACAAATTGAAACCAAAACCTAGATTCCTTGAAGTTGAATTCAAGTTTTTAAGGAGATATCACTGATTATTTGGGTACTTGAACATATCCATGACATTTCAAATTGTATCTTGGAAAGATGTATCCATAATTTTACTGCTTGTATGTTATTCATTAAATTGTATTTATTCATAAGTAAAAGTTCTACTTTTTTTTTCTGTTTTGTAATGTTTTATTGTAGGTTTTCAAAATTCATATTTCAATTCCACAAGTACCTCAATCAACACCCCATTCTTTTTTGATGCAATTTCAAAGTTTCACTTTATAATCTTTACTGATTCCTTTTAAAATAGGTACCTACCAGGTAAATACGTACTTTTGCTCATTGTTAATTCATTTATACATAATATATGAAAGTCCTGGATTTCAAAATCATTCATAATTGTAAATTTTCATGAAGGTATCTTGTAAAATAATTCAGGGAAAACAGTATACATGAGCACTGAGGGAAGGAGTATACTGGAGATCCATCTATTTGTAGGTACTTCTTTCTGGACTTCTTTGGAGTGGCATAAGTACAGAAAAACACATGTTATGTCAATGTACTTTCATTTTCAAAAATTATTATTAATTCAGTTCCAAAATATACAAAACATAATGAACTATACAAATTGATAAGATAGATATTTTCAATTAGATGAATTTAGGATTACAAAATGATATAAAATCACAAAATTTATGATGATATACTGTGTAAATACATTAACTGAAATCCTAGGTCATTTGATCAATGTTTTATGTGGTGGAATTCCAAATTATTCAATGATTTCATCAATATGGTAAAAAAAAAAACTAGCATTACAAGGTATTAAATGAATTCCAAAAAGAAAACTCAGTCTAGGATGCCACCTACCTCAACTCTAAGTATATTAGGAATATTCACATAATGAAAAGTGTGTTATATGGATACAATTCACACACATGGTACATAGGATCATGACAATTTGCTGTCATTGCAGTGGAGCACCATAATATATGAGGTATGGGAGTTGCACTGTAAACAATTCTCAAAGCCTGGAAGTAATATTGTTGAAGATAGGCCATTGATGGTTGTATCTACTATCAAATCCACAGTAATGTCAGGATGCCTTTGGTGTTGAATGTTGAATTATTTCTTGGTTTAGACTCATTAGAGCTGGTTGCTGCTGATTTCTATTGTATGGATCAATTGCACATGATTCTGATGGCTATAATATTTAGCACAAAATAGTCCAATAGGTTAACACATTGTTTAGGGATGGCTTTCAATATGTTCACAGAAGGCTGTTCACTGTTGAAAAACTCCACTCCTGGTATCACCATTTGTGGTCTGAAGGATCCTTTTGCTTGAAGAGTGGAGTTATAGAGGTATGATGGTGAATATATCAGCTTATGATGATAGTGGATATGCTTGTGATTCTTGATATCCCATGAAGCTGTCCCACAGAAATGCACTGGTTTGAAGAAAGCTCAGACTATTTGGTCCACGATTCAGTCAGTAGGTAACAGTTATTTTCCTCACATCACGATGAAACAGTATGATCCAACAAAAAATATTATGATTTCAGTAAAAAGTCCAACAATAAACACAAATAACACGATGAAATATCAAGAAGAAAATGTATGCAAATCTCAAGAAATTTTGTAAACAAACTACACACTCTTTGCCGCCATCTTGTTTTGAAACAGCGCCCCCAACGGTCGATCACCTTGCCAATAGGGTAACAAACTCAAAAATAGTGAGGTGTATGTGTCTGTCAGACGCGTCAGAATGATTATTATTGATTTTGTTGAAAACGAAAGTATTGAGTGAATCTATCTCGACGAGGCATCCCTTGCTACGTGGGACGAACATGTACCTAGCAAACCAAAAAAAGGGGAAGGGCGGGGCAAACGATCCTAGTTTAGTTCAAGTGTAGGTTAGTACCGGTTCATTTCGGGGGTAACAAATTGTCAATGGGAAAGTGGCTCAGGAAAGACATTATATACAGGATGGTTCAGGTTGAACGTCATCAAATTTGATAGGCGATAGAAAAACGGGAAAGAAGTAGACTTTAAGGAAAAAACTTTGGTTGAAAATGCTTCAGAGATACAGGCTGTCAGAGTTTTGACACCTCGATTGAATTCTCGACGGGCCGCGTTAGGTTTGAAACCATCAAAGCCAACACTGCAATGTGTACTTCATGAGGATTAGGATAAAATTTGCAGAGCTATTCTCATTCTTCAAATTGAACAAGGAATCTAAAAATCGAATCTTATTGTGTGATATCCAGTGAAACTGAAGATTAGGAGAGGGAGAAGGAGATGTCAACCCCCATTATCTACGTCACTGAAGAATTTCTTCAAATGCACTCAATCATTACTCAGAGATGTAATACATTATTCTGTGTGCGAAATTTGATCGGAATCGATCGGGTGGTTTGGAAAATATCCAATGTTTGCCCAAATCTTTGAGACCCTGTATCTTCGTTAGGAAGCATTTCTAACCAAATTTTTTTTATGGAAGTCTACTTCTTTTCCGTTGTTCTATCGCCTATCAAAATTATTGACGTTCAACCTGGAACACCCTGTAGATTATAATTGAGAGAGTTTTTCTTGCTGAAGTGGTCTGGCCATTGATGCATTACGGGTGTTATAGCAGTGGATATCTGACTTCGAACAGAGAGAATCTTTTTGACTATGGATTTGAATCATTATTGTCTTGAATATGTAAATTGCCGGGAGTGGCATTATGTCCAATTTTGTGAATAGAGGACCAACTGAATAATATTTTATATATTTTTTTGGAGCCGTGCTATTGTCACGATAAAATAAAGATGGTTAGTCCATCCATATCGATATATAAGGGGTAATTCTTGGCTTAATAGTTTGCGATAGATAATATTCGAATAGGCACTAATAGTTTAGGGGTAGCTGAAAGTATGAGACATATTCAAACAACAATATTTATTGGAGCATGAAACATTATGAGTCGTGATGATAAATATGAATAATCAACAATGAATATATAAAGAACTAATAACAACTTACATTATAATGACCATTACGACGAGTTCTTGTCAAGTCAAGAGTAGCCCCAGACCAGACTAACTTCGGAACCCTCCCATCCAATATTTATATACATCATTTCATTAGACTTGCACGTTTCTCATGCAGATTCCTTGGTCAGTTTTCAAAGTTCAATGTCAACGGATGATTTGATTAACTTTATGTTTATAAAACCCTCATGGTTCGAACTTACTAATATACCGTATGTTCTACTCGTGACACTATATAATAGCTCACCTCTCACCCAAGGTGTATAATATACTATTTTTCTGTGACGGGAAAAAAGTTTGGCATTTCATTTCTGTTGGCAGGTTATAAACGGTTACTTTTCATAAATTACTTTTTTCCCGTGGGCAAAAAGTGAGTACTTTTTTCCCGGATATATATCACATATACATACACTGTTGATGGCTTTTGTTGTGCTATAGTTCCGAAAAATGAGTCAATAATACCGTCTCCGAGAAAGAACTGCAAGTCCTTTTTATCTTCCATTCGACTTCACGGTTACGTATATTACTAAACAACCACTAAATTTGCAATTTTTTGAAATCAAATCACAGAATTAGACTGACAGAAGTGACATCAAATATTTGATTACTTCAAAAGAATGATAAAGAGGTCTATACAACGCAGGTGTCCCTACTGTTAAAAACTTAAAATTTCACATTTTCAGATTTCAAAATAATGTAACATTTTCTCAATATTGATTCGTCCTTTCTTCTGTCACAGAAAAAAATAGTGTATTATACACGGGAAAAATATTAGATTTTAGCTCACGGTTTTTTGTCTCCCTCCGCTACGCGTCGGGTGACAACACAACCTGGAGCTAAAATCTACTACTTTTTTCCCTTGTATAATAAATAACTATTTTTCCAGAGAACGACCCCCTGATCCGCAAATACAACCTAGCCACCAGCGGCAACACCAACGAAATCCGCCTGTGGACGATCACAACGAAATCCCTACTCAAACAAAAAACCGCCTGCGCCTCGAGCACCAACGAAGTCGTCGTCGAACCTTTCGACGTCTACGACGGCCACGCGTCCACCGTCACCAGCGTCCGTTTCAGCCATTCCGGCGCCTACTTGATCTCAACCAGTCTCGACAAGCTGGTCAAGGTGTGGGACGAGCAGGGAAACTGCGTCGCTTCTTTGCAGGGCCACGACAGATACGTCAATTGCGCTGCAATATCACGTGATGCCACATTACTAGTGTCAGGTGGGTAGAAAAATATGCGTCTGAATTGTATTTTAGGTACTGTTTCTGTTCGTCGAGTTTCATCAGTCGCTACCGGTCTGCTGACGGCTAGCACAGTTCATCCCTCTATCCGAGTGTGTCGTTCGACTTTATCAGGCATATGTCCCTCGAATATTCTCTTCATAGGTCTCAAATCGTCACTCTCCTTCAACGATTCCGGCGCCTACTCGATCTCAACCAGTCTCGACAAGCTGGTCAAGGTGTGGGACGAGCAGGGAAACTGCTTCGCTTCTTTGCAGGGCCACGTCAATCGCGCTGCAATGTCACGTGATGCCACCTTACTAGTGTCAGGTGGATAGTAAAATATGTGTCTAAATTGAATTTTAGAGGTACTGTTTCGATTCGTCTAGTCTCATCAGTCGATCTCGGTCTGCTGACGGCTAGGACAGCTCATCCCTCTATCCGAGTGTGTCGTTCCACTTTATCCCGCATATGTCCCTCGAATATTCTCTTCATAGGTCTAAATTGTCACTCTTCTTCAACTATTCCGGCACCTACTTGATCTCAACCAGTCTCGACAAGCTGGTCAAGGTGTGGGATGAACAGGGAAACTGCGTTGCATCTTTGCAGGGCCACGACAGATACGTCAATTGCGCTGCAATATCACGTGATGCCACCTTACTAGTGTCAGGTGGGTAGAAAAATATGTGTCTAAATTGTATTGTAGATACTGTTTCGGTTCGAGTCTCATCAGTCGCTCTGTACATGGTTTCGCCTCTGAAAAATATGCTGTTTTGGCCATTTGTGGATGAGAACCTCAATGAATTTACATCATTTGATTGTCGAGTGTAAAAGTTGTGTATGTTATTGCGAAAATTCAACGTTTAATTTGAGTGGCGTGTTCTACAGATAATCTGATTCATATAGAGTGATACTTGATATTTATTGATGTTTTCTAAGGACATAATGACACATAGTGTCAGGTGAGTGGTAAAATAAGTCTCTAAATTCTATTTTAGGTACTGTTTTGATTTGTCGAGTCTCATCAGTCGCTCTTGGTCTGCTGACGGCTAGGAAAGTTCATCTCTCTATCCGAGTGTGTCGTTCCACTTTATTCCGCATATGCCCCTCGAATATTCTCTTCATAGGTCCCCAATCGTCACTCTTCTTGACCAATTACGGCGCCTACTTGATCTCAACCAGTCTCGACAAGCTGGTCAAGGTGTGGGACGAGCAGGGGAACTACGGGTCACGACAGATACGTCAATCGCGCTGCAATATCACGTGATGCCACCTTACTATTGTCAAGTGGGTAGAAAAATATGTTTAATAATCAAGATGATGGAGAGCACTAATTTCGAGTGACAACGGATTCAATATTGTTCATGATTCTCATTAATTTTTTGCGACATTAATTCTCACAAGTGAGATAATTTCTATGTAGATCTCTAATGTTATGATAATAATTCACTTTTTGAATATTAACAAAATTCACAATAACATGCTCTTTCCATTACTCATTTGAGCTAAATAATAATGTATTGATCTCTTGAGTCAATCAGATTAAATTCACTCCCTCTTTGCAGAACTTATAAATACTCTGCAAGTTCTTATCAACGTCATTTTTGTCTCTCAATTCGGTCCTGTGATGTCAACCTGCTTCGTTCTTAAGTTAACAGTGAATTAGTTTTACAAAGGTGCCAACTTATTCTATACACTTGTTGAATGTCTAGGACACCTACCCGTTCATTACATAACCGATAACCTTCTACATTATATTTCAAGGTTCTACAGGTTCTAATGACAGGTAAGTGATCGTGTGGGACTTGAAGAAGGACAATCTCACCTTGGACTTGGGATTGAACCATTTCATGTTCAGGATTGCTATGATTTGTTGAGTCAATTACCAATAACAATGTCTTGCTCTTTTATATGCCACTCACTTGTGTGAACTCATTGTTTTCACGCTTGAGACAGCACTTGTGCTCAATTTTTTGAAATTATCTCAAAGTTCTACAGGTTCCAATGGCAGACAAGTGATTGTGTGGGACTTGAAGGGCAAACTCATGTTGGACTCGGTGCTGAACCATTTCAAGTTCAGGATTACTATGTCGTTTTGAGGCAATTACAATGTACTGCTTCTTTATATTCCAATATCTGTGATTGTTTTGAAGCTTAAGACAGCACTGGTGCCCAATCCTTTCTACTTCTGTCGCACAACCTATAATGCTTTTCACATAATTTCAAGGTTCTACAGGTTTCAATGATGGGCTATCGATTATGTGGGACTTCACCGTGGACTCAGTTGGTCTGAGTCAATTCAAAAGTTTAGCTCATTGATGTTCAACTGTATTTTCATCTTTCATCAAATAGACGAGATAACTGCAAGTAATACTCGAATACTCATGCTTCACAAGTAAACCAGAAGTTTATACCGTGACGTCATGATATAGTGAACCTGGAACCTGGTTTGCCTGGTTAGGTTCGAGGAAAAATGGCCCATGTGTAAACTCCAAAGTTTTTATTGTTTCCAAGTTTCAGGCAGCACGTGTGCTCCATCCTTTTACTTACAGATGAACGTGTGGGACTTGGAGGTTAATGGTTAACTTCACCGTGGACTGGGTCTGCTATTTTGTATGCCATCATCTGCAAACTCCTAAGTTATTATTGTTCCCACACTTTAGACAGCACGTGTGCTCAATCCTTTCTATTTCTACCTCATAGCCGATAACCTTTTATACATTATTTCAAGGTTCTACAGGTTCCAATGACAGGCAAGTGATCGTGTGGGACTTGAAGGGTGTTATCTCATCTTGTACACGGAACTGAACCATTCCAAGTTCAGGATTGCTATGACGTTATTGAGGCAATTACAATGTCCTGCTTTCTTATATGCCACCATGTGTAAACAATTTTTATTGTTTCCACATTTTAGACAGCACGTGTGCTCAATTCTTTCTACTTCTACCTCATAACCGATAACCTTTCACATTATTTCAAGGTTCTACAGGTTCCAATGACAAGCAAGTGATCGTGTGGGACCTGAAGGGCAATCTCACCTTGGACTCGGAACTGAACCATTTCCGGACGATCTCTGCCTTCGCCGACGGTGTTTCAGAGAACCAGATGGCGGAGAACGTCGACCCCAACGGCAATAAGGTGACTTTGCTGGAGAAGTTGGACGATGTAGCAGAAGGTACCATCAACAGTTGCAGCTTCTATGGGAACAGTCTTCTGGCTACAGGATCAGGGTAAGAATAGATTGCAGGTTTTTGCTCAATGAGTATTCATTGATGAGTTTCACAATGTTGATATTGTAAAAATTATTGGTAATGTTTTTCTTCTCATTTTCATAATGTCAGTTCGACTAATGGGTGTCTCTTAAGTGAGGTAAAATATCGGTAGGCGTGATTTTGTTTTCAAATGTTCACAGGATAATTTTCAAGAAAAATTCCATACTATTGATGAAATACTTCGAGATGAAACGGTTCTAAATTCTACTTTTTCAAAAGTTGAATCACTAGCAAGTGGTAATTTATGGTACTCGTCTCTTATATTTCATCAAATTCAGGATAGATGATCACTTTAGAAAGTTTTGGCTTTTTATTATATGTTTCATCACTAATATTGAAATCAGTAATTTGAAAAATAAGGCAACTATAATTGAACAAGTTTGTTTTAGGCGTAATAACCAAGATATTTTGTAGATCTGATAAATTGCCATCTACAATTGTAAAAACAATTTAAGAACAAATTGAAAGTGTTGTTTTATACAGAATGAGTGACCAAATATCGTGCCAACAAACATCTACATACTTAATCATTATGGCCTTTTGACTTGGTTTTCTGTATCCATTGAGAGTTACAGATCAGTTCAGTGCTTCAAAATTCCAATCAAATCTAGAAAAAAATGCAATTTAAAAACCTTAAATTTTTTTTAATATGGTGGTTCAAGGAAGTCATTTGAAATTTCATTCTTAATTTATCCAATTCATAAAGCAATGAGCATGCATTTTTAATAGAAAGCAAGAATGACCATATAGGGTCTTCTCAAAGGTTGGGAGTTTTTATAAGGATATAGAATTCAATAAAATTTATATATCCACCCCAAGTACCGCTTCAGTAAAAGTTGCATTATTACGAAGATATTATCAATTGAACATTATATGAATTCTAAATTTGATCACGGTCCCCCTACTACCGTCCACAGTAGACAGTAAAATTTTGTTTGTCTAGCGCTAATCATCAAATCTGCTTTTCCATTCGTTTGTTTTTCTGTGATGTGTTCAATAACAGCGCACATTTACGAAAATATTGAACTTGTTGACATACTTAATTCATGGGGAGTGTCGCCAAAATGCTGCAGTAGAATTTCGTTGGATAACATGTTATCCAGCAGGTGGATATGGCGTAATGGCCCAACTTCTTGGCCTGCATGCTCCCCGGACCTAAATCCTTGCGATTTCTTCCTTTGAGGTCTTTTGAAAAACTTGGTGTATCGTGACAGAGACGTGAATGTGGTAAAAGAGTTGAAACAGCGAATAGAAAACACTCGTGAAGTGTTTCGTGGGGAAAGAAATAGTATTTTTGCCTAATGTTGCGCTGAGCAAGACTGTGCACTGTGCGTACATCGAACGAATGGTGATAACTTCGAAAAATTTACCAGGACCGTAAAAGGGTCAATACTATCGCTGAGTTTTTGAACTTAGTTTTTTTGCAATGATTTTAATATGGGCAATTTTTAGTACTCTCTATTTTGATGAGTTCTACATCCCCTTGCCTCACCTTCGAGATCGGCTTGTCAATTTTCTCATCATCGGAAAGGCCTTTCACAAGAACTTCTATTTCATTTATCCTCAGCACTTAACAAGCATTCTTTCGATTTTCAAATAAATATTGAGAAAAGTGTGCCTTGACTCTTCTTCAAAAACCATTAAACGTCAGATCTCCACTCTGAGTTACTATGGACTTTCCTAGTATCATATATTACTCTGGCCTGGCGTCTAAATGCCGTCAGGAGGGCACGGAGTCAAGCCACAGAGCGGGTAGCAGGTGGCGGATAGCGAGCCGCCCCTCATATACGAGGGGCCCCGGACCATGACTCTCCCAAGCCAAGGTGTTGACCGTGCCGAAGGCTGCGTGGCACTAGGGGCGAGTAGTGTCTCGAACGGTCCCTCCGGGATACCAGGCCGCCTCCCGGAGTATGCAGGCCTTACTGCGGCACGCGGGGCTCTGCTGCAGCCGACCACCCTTTCCCTAGCTGATCGTGGGATTCAAACATGAATAAAATTGATACTAACACTGAAACTAACGAGGCCGGTGATCCTCCGATATCACCGAAACCAGCAGAACTCGAGGCTAGCCTAGAAGTACCTACGTCTAGCGGTGCAGTGGAAGAGGAACCTCCGAAGTATCCTCCTAGACTGGCAAAGAAGGGCTGCATGGCACACGGACATGACGTCGAAGAAGCACGGGCATTAGGCGCGCAGCGGATAGAGAAGAAACTGTCTTTGTCCTTGGCCATCATGCATTTGTGCTTCCCGGACGATCGTCTGACAACCGAACAACTGGAAGCTGTGCAAGACGAAATCCTCAAGCAGGTGGTGCTACAGAAGGGACAGGAAGTCAAGCCGAAGTTCGTCGGCACCGAGTTCAAGGATGGCTACTTGGTGGTGACCTGCGCCGATGAAGCCACAGTGAACTGGCTGAAGAAGGTGGTGACGGACATACAACCATCGGAAGGCGTTGAACTTTCAATAGTAGACGAGGATGATGTTCCTAGTGTCCAAAAGGTTGTAGGATTCTTTCCTAAGACCCCAAACGAGTCCACCGAGACTATCTTGGACTATATAGCTGCTCAAAATGACAACCTGGACGTAACGAAATGGACTGTGCTCAAAAGAATCGCTGAAAACGATGGCGCTATGATGCAAATGGCCATCGACCTTCCCTCTTTGTTTATCCTCAAAGAAACCGGCTTCATGGTCAATTACAAATTTGGTCAAGTCCATCTGAAAACCATTCCGACTGAACCTAGCAAACTGAAGAACATCCTCGCGACTATAAAGCCGTCAAAAGCAAGCATACCCGACAGGTACCTAAATTTAAAAAGAAAGATTCTCATTGATCCAACGTCAGAGCCGTCATCTTCTCTGAAGCTGGACCCCTCCAGGAAGGTCCAACTATCCAAGAGTCAAGCTGTGTCGACTTCGACAGGCTCAACGCTGAGAACCAACCCATTTGCGAAGCTCAGGAAGAGACAGTCAGGGGTGAGCAAACCTCCTCAGGGAGAGAGTGTGCGAAGACCTTCTTCTGCGTTGTCCAAGAGACCTTGTGCCCACCGGAGACACAGGAGACCCACAGAGGATCGGGACGTAATGTACGTTAGAGAGGATAGGGACATGTACGTGAGGGAAGGCAGAGAAGTGTATTCCAGGCAGGATAGGGATATGTACGTCAGAGAGGATAGGGATATGTACGTTAGAGAGGATAGGGATATGTACTTCAGAGAGGATACAGATTCGTACTTGAGGGAGAATAGAGATACGTACGTTAGGGAAGATAGAGATACGATGTATGTCAGGACGAGTGATTACTCTTCGAACAGCTCTGCCGGCTATTCGAGAAGATAACTTGGCCTTCTGCGATAGACAATTGAAATATCGCGAGCTTACTTTGGATATATCTTCAACTTGTAAGGTTTATCCGCAGTGACCTTTACCCAGTGCCAATTCCTTGTAGCTTGATGGTAATAAGGAATCCAAACTAGATGGATACCAATTCATGTAAGTTATTAATACACATTATCATTTATGTTCTGTTGACGTTTGCTGTGGCTTGGGTGACCAAGACCTCTTTATTGAGCAACTTATTTATTTCGTTAATTCCTAATTTCTTGGCACTACAATTTTTATTTATCTATGACACTTTTCAACATGGCTGTATCCGAATCTGATGTTATGAAGTTCACTCTGAGCAACCATGGACTTCTTTCAGAGATTAATCCTTTGAATAATTGAATATAGCAGTTTATTCAACCAACTACTTCAGGATCTTTCAAACAACCAGAATGGTGTGAAACCAAAAAATGAATATCTGTAATACCTTCATGTCTCCGAACTTGTGACAATGGATATTTTATGTTCCAGAGAATACAATACTTACCGTGTTTTAAGTCAGTAGGAGTTGAGGTGCCATTGTGTGCAATCATTGTCTTGGCATGTACTACCTGGTCAGTTGGATACGCCTCCGCTATTGCAAATGCTGTCATAGATGAAACAATTGTGTGGATACTAATGGAGGTGAGTTGGAAAATACTCATTTACCTACGTGTTTATTAATGATAACCTAGTAGACATTATTGGATAGGAGTAAGCCATGATTCATGAGTTGTTGTAGAGAGGTAGACTTAACCTCAGGATATGTATCTGGAACACTGAATTCACAACTGGCATGTTGAAGATGGAGCCCCATTGTAGAGTGTGAATTGAAATTGTAAAGCTGTTGATAAAATCCCAAATTTCACAGTGTAAATATGTATGGATTAAGAGTTGGAAGACAGTGGTGTATTATTTGTTCTATAGTTTAAGATTAATAAGTATATGTCGCTATCGATTGATCTTATATTTTGAATAACTTGAGTTGTTTTGTAGTTGCATTCGGAAAATGAGCTGGATTCAATGTCTCTTCCATATTATGTACCTTCAACATAAAAGTTGAACAGAATATAACATGCTAGTATTAAAAAGTGCAAATGAAGAGGTGGCAAAAAAATCAGGAGGTGCTTCTTTGTCATATTTTAGAAAAAAAATGTATATAAAAATGTGTATTAACTTGCTTCGTTTATTATTATTAAGCTCCTTGAAGTGACTGAAAGCAGACTGACTCTGTATTATGGTTTGAAAATAGAGTCTATGCTGATATGCCTTAGCCATACTAAACTTGTTCACGTGATTATGTTAGCCACCATCTATTAGGAGTGATATTCTTCTGTTCTGAACTAACCTGAACTATTTCACTTAAACTGAACTCAATCAGTGAACGTGAATTCTGTCCATGGATTATATTTAATTAAAGTTTTTCGAAAAGATGCATGTTAACTGATTCAGTTCAGTTTAAGTGAAATATTTCAGTTAGTTCAGATTGAAAAAATAATACTTGGATTGGTTGGAAACGCAGTCGAATACAAAGTGAAATCTTGTTTTGATAGGATACATTCCTCTGTTTTTATTCCATCAATAATATGACAAATGTTTAGAACACAGCAATGAGAGTTCTCGAAACTTGATTTTATAATTTGGTGAAAATATGCAAAAATCGATTTTAGTACACATGTTGAAGGTTTTGACGTTTGTCAAAATATTGGAATCCTTGTATGTATGAAATACCTCGTTGAAATTAAGATTATTTCTCGTGAATCACATGAAACCTTTCGAACATTTTAACTTGGTGATGGTTTTTGACGAAATTAACATTTGTCAGAACCGCCTTAAAGACATTTATTTGGTTTGTAGTTTAAACGACGTTGTTGAGACATTGTCGTTCTGAATAAAAACCCAGTAGGCAAGATGATATTGTCTATTCAATAGCTCAAATTATGTGTGTCTGCAAATGGCGCTGGTTCCTATTGAATATTCATCAATATGGACAACGAGAATAATTTTTGTTTACAAACTTCATAGAGAGGTAGATCTTGAAAAAAAAAACGAAAAATTCCTAGGGCTAGAATTACAATTGAATAACTCAGTTCGAAATAGAGGTCACTGGCTTAATGAAAATATCGTCGATAAGGCCGATTTTTGCATATTTTTTCTTCTTCAATGAACAGAATATTGTATGTACCTCGCCTACTAGGTTTTCACTCAAAATGGCAATGATTAAGATCAGATAAGATCAGCTGCATAATCTGAGACACCCGGTTTATTATCCCAATAAGCAAATTTTGATGCAAGGTTGTAGCAATTACTGAAACGGACGTTCAGCAATATTACAAATAAATTTGTAAATGTAACGTTCTAGCAATGTCACTGCAACATATAATATTGCTGCAACGCTACAATATCAAACTTTACCTTTGCAATATTGCTGAACGTCCGTTTCAGTAAGTTCTTCAATATTGCATCAACATAGCTTTCAACTTTCCTTAGTGGGATACAAGTTGAAAATGAGAAACCTCTCTTACATGGCGATTCTGGAGTGTGAGTTGATTTGAATTCTCCCTTTGTTACAGAGATAAACTGGTGAGACTGTTCAAAGTACTCGAAGGGAACGACAACATTGAGGAGGTGAACTACTCGCCGCTAGAGGGCCACACATACGCGATCAACCACGTGGAATTCTCCAAAAGCGGGGACATGTTGGCGACGTGTTCACTAGATGGCTGCACCATCATATGGAATCCGACAGTAAGTGAATGGAACAATGATATAAACTACAATCTAGAACAGGGGTCGGCAAACTCTATGAAATTGAGAGTCAAATTTTTATTCAAAATGATTTCAAAATGAATCAAGAGCCACGTATGATTTTTACCAAAAAGTCTTATTTTTCGTATGTTCTGCAGTATTTTTTGGATAAAAATTTGGTAAAAATTTATATTTTCCTTTCTTTGAAAACAAACTTCATTGAAATTCAAAAAAAATCTTTTAGTAATCACAATTGATAATAATAATTATAATAATTAATGAGAAGAATGAGCTTGCATTTCATTGGAAAGTGGAATAGTCTAGCAGGTACCTAGTAATTTTCAATTTTAAATATATTCTAGTAAGAAAATATTTGCTCGCATAAATAAGTAGATCAGATGATACTGAGAACACGATATGCAAATTTTTTCAACTCCTAGAAGTACGGAGCAATAGGTTTGTGCTATTTTGTCAATTTGTATTTTTGTCCCCTGGTTTGCTGTAATAGGTCAGTCCTTCAATTTCAAACATACTCAATGGAGAAAATTTAAAAAATTTCAAATATGCATTAAGAGGATCAGTAATGAAAGCAACGTCCTGTATGATTTCTGAATTGATGGAATCTGCGTCGATAAGATTTCTGCATATTGATAATGTGTAATGTACAACCAATGAACTCAATGTAAACAACTGGAAGGGATCCTCTGTGAACGAAAAGTGAGGCAAAATATTGTTCAGGCAACCCGCAGTGGTTACGGATACCTATCTCTTTCTATCTCATGTTGCCTAATGGAGAGCGCTCGCATTATTCGAAATATTTTCTCGTTTTCTTCTTTCATTAAGGAGTATATGTGATTAAATATGAATATACATTTAGAAAAAAGGATGATGTTGCAATCAATTATCATTCAAACATTATTATTGATTTTTTCATTGACTTAAAAGTGAAATTTCATTTTCATTCTCACAGGATTAGGAGTCAAATGAATACAAAATTGAAATTATATATTCTCATTTAAATGTCGCAATATATTGTACAGGGTGAGCGAAGCTCAATGTTTCAGCACTATCGGAAGAAAAAGAAAAACGATAGAAAAGAGGTTATTGAATGGTATTGAGTACCTAAGGTCTATTTTAAGCCCAATTTTCAAGAGTACTTACCTATTTTTCCATATGCACTTCACTATCAGAAGGTGAATGGAAGGTGAATAAAAGTACAATGTTTGGACGAATTGTTTCATTAAAGATAAATATCTGTATCGCCCAGAATGTACACCTTCATTTTTTCCTTTCTGGAGAAGGAAAAGCTCCAAAACCAAACCTGAAAAGACAATATGATGTAGCTTTTGAGTTCAAAAATATGAACTTGTAGCTTTATCCTTGAAAATTTATTTTAGTACCCCATCAAGATTGTCATGTATGTCTTTTTACTTTTTGTTTCAGTGTTTTCGCTTTTCTTTGCAATAGAATAGGCCTTCTCGAATGAAACAGTTTGGGGGTTTCATTATCAATAAACTGAAACTTGGGAGCTGGAAGTTGTAGGCAAATCAATGTCAATATGAAAAACATCGTCCTTAGAATCTAAGTTATGAACATCCACACACACATCCTGAACATAAATTACTATAGTTTTTCTAAGAATCTGATCAATTTTCAAATTACCCATGAAGGACAATTTCTGTTTGTCTTGCTTTTTTCACATCCAAAGCCAACATAATATAAATAAACATTGTTTATTAATTCGAAATCACAAACCTTTTCAACAACAATCAATTCACACCAACAAATTCAGTCCTTTTGGAAAAACAAAACACGCCAAATTTAACTATATTTCACATAACAAAAACCAAAGAAGTTCTGTCTTTACTTTTTTTGTCAGTTTAGATAAAAAAAGATCTGATGTGTTCCAATAATTATTGGATAAAAGAAGATTTATACACCAATCTTTGTTGCAGCTGCTCCTGACACACTGTGCTATTCGAGAAAACGGCAGTCTCCCTTCCAGTTGTTCACATTGAGTTCAATGTGTACAACTTCAGCCTCTTATCTAGTTTTTTATTTTTTTGTGACTTTTTTTTGTTTCAATACATAATTTCATATATTTCCAGAATGGTGAGAAAATTACGTCATTGCCGAAGAATGTTTTATCCGTGAAAGTTTGTCGATTTTCGCCAGACGGTCGTTTCTTGATAACTGCGGGAGACGACGAAAAGGCTATTGTTTGGAATATGGATCGCATGGAAAAGATCACGTAAGGAATTCAATCATCTTACTGATAGAGTCCAGCCGCTATTTAGATTGTATAATGATAGGCAGAGAGGTAGAAAACATCTATCATAAGTAGAGTCCCTGTATGTATAATTCCCTGTATTTATTTGTCAGTTTTGTTGTAATAAGAGTACGGACACTATGACAAGCAGTGACGGAAGGCATAACCCCAAATTCTCAAAATGACTTTTGAACAAAGACATGGATATGCTTTTCCATGCACTTCGGATCTTCTATCCTCTACTGCCGCGGTGAAGGGTACATCCATATATCTTTCTCTGTCTTTATTTTCATAAAGAAGTGGCGTCTCATCTCACTGGCGAAAAGGGGTCATAGTTTGTGAATCAATTTGTTGAAAGTATTTCTCGATATACTTAAGAAAGGGTATATGTACTTGTTGGTTATAGGTGATGGGGGAAATGAAATAAATGAAAGTACTCGCTTCCATTTTTGCAATTCTCCACTACACAATTAGACATTTTGATTTTTGAAAACCTGAATTTTCAAATAATTTAATGTCATGTACGTTCATGAACTGTCCTTGCCCGCCAAATTGTTCATGTCATTTCAAATTTTTTAGGGTTATGCCTTCTGTCACTGCTTGTCATAGTGTCCGTACTCTTATTACAGCAAAAGTGTCAAATACATACAGGGACTCTAATCATAAGTACAACAGTTATTTCACAATTATAATAGGATGGGGAAGTTTCCAATATCGAGGTTTTTATCTCACTGTGAAGTTCGTAAAAATTTGATATATACAACCAAAATATATAACAGAATTGACAATTCACGATCAAAGTTGCTCTGAAAATGTATCCAAAATACCAGTAATTTGTTCGTGTAAAATATCAAGTGGATAAAATCAAATACCTTGGTACATGCATTGATCGAAATTTGAAGTGGAATTATCATGTCGCAGAACTAACGAAGAAACTCAGAAGTAACCTTCCGAAATTCAGACTTTTGCGAAATATTGTCAATAGACATTCATTCAAAATGTTTTATCACACTCTCTTCCAATCTATATTATCGTATGGAATAATTGAACGGTGTGGTATGTATGAAACTCATCTAAAACCTTTATTATGTATTCAAAAATTAGTTTTTGAACATAATATTCCGTGAATCATTTGATTTCATCAGCATCATCATTTTTAGAAAATAATATCGAATGTTTGGCAATTATTCCATAAGGCATCAATAATCTTTATCAAAAAGAATCCGACAATAACCAATAAAATCAATCATAGTTATGATACCATCAAAAATCAACAATGTACGACTCGAAAAATTTTTGATTAACCCAATTTTCGATTTTCCCCGAATTCGATTCACCCAAATTTCGATTGATCCAAATTTCGATCGACCCGAATTTCAACGTAATATAAGGAAGGAAAATATTCTTTCCTGCATAAGGAAGGAGCCTACCTAACCCATAGTGGAACCTATCCTAACTACCTAACTCGGCCGAATCGAAGATTGGGTGAATTGAAAATTGGGCGAATCGAAAATTGGGTGGAACGAAATTTTGGCCAAACGACATATTTGAATGTGAAATGATTGTTGACAATTCCAGTTTCATTGAATCCGAGGAAATGTGGCATTATTTGACAACAACGCATCTTTCGGGTATGTTCGGTGACGGTGGGTGAATCGAAAATTGGGTCGAACGAGACGTTCCCGATAAGTGTAGTTGAGTTTCATCAGATTTTACTCTTTTTGCGTAGGTGTCAGGTGAAATACCTAGAGGTTAAAACTTTTCGAAGGGGGAAAATAACTTATTGCAACTGTTGTATAATTAATAAAATCATTCATTTTTCTTTGTTCAAATATATTTTTTGCTGCCTGTGATAACGTTCGCAATAAGTAATATCTGTGATGAACATACCTTTATCTGTGATATTTTTAAATCTTCAATTGATCTTTGATATGAAACATAACCTTTATCTGTGGTATTTTTCAATCTTCAATTTTGATGGATATTCAATTATTGTAGATATTATTTTTATATTCGCGATAGAAAATATTACGTCGTCCCACGTGACGGCAACAACTAAAACATTTCTGAGCGGCTTGTTTTGATAAACGTGACTAGATGTGACCAATGATCACAAATGAAAAACAAATGTGAACCAATGAAAACTCCGATAGGTGACGTACGCTTATTTTCTATCGCGAATACTAACATTCTCCTCCATTAACAAAACTCTCCCTCCTGGCAAAGAATGCATGCACTTACCTATCCGTGGTGTTTGCTATGCACTGCAGGGTTTGAAATAAAAGTACTTTCAATCCCTCATTTGAGGGAATAAAGTAGCACTTTTAATCCCTCAGGGGATTTCTTTGTCTTTCAGGATCCTAGATGGACATCTAGATAGTATTCCTTCGGCCTGCATTTCACCAGATGGAGCTGTGATAATAACCGTATCTCTCAATGCAGATTTCAAAATATGGTCAGCAGATGACTATAGGTAAATTATAAATGTGTAACTTATGTTATGGTGTTATGGCATATTACCAGATAAACTATCATAGAAGGCTGAGTGAAAAAACTAATGAACAGGTCCGTTCTAATGAAATATTTCTTTTCATTATTTTGAAGGACTACCTCAAACTTGTTCACTCTCACAAATCGTTATTGAAATTAAGATATTTTAAAACATGAAAAACTAAATACGATGCAACTATACACAGTGTCCCAGCTAAAATGCCCCCCCCCCTGTAAAAAATTAAACGCGCGTTCGAATGACTTGAAATTTGTTCACCTAGTATA